TAGTTTGAGTTAATCTAATGTTATGAATGAATGATGAAATCATTAGTTAGGAAATAGCAGCCTTAAAGGGTTCCCCACTCCCTCCCCTTTACACAGATGATTGTTTAAATGATATCAGATACTATGCTTAGAGTCTAATCCCTCCAATTATTATAATGGCTTCATATTTATGGTAGATTGGGGATAAAATTCTGTGTTTTCACATGAGCCACATGTATCACTAAGGTATATGGGGGGCGGGGGGAGTCTTCTTGTGCCTTTGTGGGTACTTATCAAATAATGTTTATAGAAAACTAAATATATCAAGACAGAGCAAATGGAGAGCTGATCAGAATATTAAACAAACAGCCCAACATCCCCTTGCCTTTGCTGGCTGGAGATGTGTGACATGGATCGATTCATTTAGTGTCTTGTACAGGAGCAGAGAGCTTGTGCAGATTAAAATTAGAAGAAAATGGACATGAAAGCTTTTCTCCTTATTGCCTGCAGTGGAGCTATAGCACCAGTGTAACTGCATTAACAAATATCCTTTCAGAGCTGGGCAGAACTTCTTGATCCAAACTTTTTTATTTATTAACAAAAGATACAGATTCATCAGTGTTTTGTGGCAAAAATACTTGTTTGAGAGAAAAGCATGCACCTTTTTTTAGAAACAACTTTTTTGTTTTGAAATTTCCTTTTAATTTATATTTTAAAATTTGCCCCTGGAATTGTTATTGTTAGTTTTATGTGAACTGAAATGAAACACTTGTTTTGGGGGCTAGAACGGTTCTGTTTTTTGTTTGTTAGAAAGTACTAAGCACATTTTCTGTTTGGCTTGAAATGCGATTCAAATTAAAAAAAAAAAAAAAAAAAAAAATTCAAGTAAATAAACTGCCCATATCTACTTGTATCCTCTTTCTGAAGGAAGGAAGCGTTATGAACCCCATGAGATACTGGAGAACAGTGGCTGATGAGAGGATATAGTTTGTGAAACATTGGGCATGTGTGTCTACACATGCAATTAATGCTATTTGGCTTTACTGGGCAGTAAATTTAGTGCCTACATATGGGTAGTGTAGGTGACCCTTTACTGCTTGGTAGATTAGTCTACTGTATAGAAAAGCATCATGTGTAGACATGACCATTATGTAGGCGGTTTGGTTCAATACACAGCTTTGCCACAAACATCCTAAATGCCCAGGGTCTCGGGTTCAAGATCCAGCCTCCTTGACCTCCATTGGTACAGCCTGCAAACTTGCACTTACCTTTGTCAATCGTCTGACATTTTTCAAGTATCGGTATATTGTATGTATGGCAGCTGCACTATCTTCAGGTGCCATTTGATGACGTTGGTTTTTGGCTTGAATGTCTTGCTCTGTTATGCTTACCTTTTTCTATCGTACCGAATATAGTTAACATTACAGTACCTGCATGGTTCTCTTGGCAAGTGCCCGAGTTTCTTTCTTGGTTTACATCATCAAATTATTTCAGTGGAATTGTCCTTGTATAACATGGCTTCTCACCAATTAAAAATTCAGATAAACTTATAATGATATTGGTGTCTACACAGAAGACTAAAGCAGCATATTTTCATAAGGAAATATGCATTAATTGCATAAATAAGCTGCTGACTTAAGCAAATGCTCCATTCCACATTAAAGCTAGGATTCATAAAGGCCTGGATTTACATAACTTAATTATCTGCACAAAAGATACTGAAAAATCAATAGCATGATTCATAGCCATACCACATTTGCCACATTGCTATTCTTTGCCCAAGTTAAGTGTGCTTGCTCTAAGCAGTCTCCTCTTGAAACCTATAAATTCTTCAGACCTAGCCTTGTTCCCATGTTGCTGGTAAGGAAGGCCCAGTGACTGTGCAGTGATTTGCTGGATTTCATCTGCCAGCAAAGGGGCTATATAAAAAAAAATCTCTTGTTCGGCTGCAGGAATCCAGATGTCCTTGAATGTCTGGAGCCATTTGGCCTTCCCTCGCCTACCTAGAGCGCGATCAATGAGCCGTTGCCTATCTCCCCCTTGGTTTTCCACCCCAAGGGGCAGTTACGTACATTGATGGTGCATGTGTCCCAGCTTATGAGATCTCAAGTAAGAAACTAGCTCCTCTTCCTCCTGCAGCATTTCAGTACCCCAGGTTCTCTGCTCTTCCTCCAGTCTATCAAATGGCTTTTCACCATCTTTCTGCAGTTTTCCTACCCTTGTCTGGCTTCTGTTCCCCCTGCCAGTGTGAACTTTCTCCTCTTTGCACCCAGAGAGAAGCCATGGAGCCTAAGGCAGCAGACTGGCATGAGGAAATATGGCTCTTTTTACCCCAAACCCTTCAGTACGGCCCCTGACTACTTCTTGTCGCCTCTAAGACTAGAGCCTGCAGTGAACCAGGAAATCGGCAGCTGCCTGAAATGTCTGGGAAAATATTCAAAACCAGAGGTCCTTACTAAATTACATAATTTGTTCATGTTGTTCACGTGGAACAAAAAAAAACCCCCAACCTTTCCCCCTTCTTTATTGTTTGAGGAATTTTCTCAGCCGTTCTTGCTTCCAGCTTTCCATCGTCCTGCCATAGAAACCAAAGGGCCTTCCCACAGAAAGCATGTGTGTGTACTTCTGTATACGGGGCACCTTGGTTCACCTTCCACACTGAAATGCAGCGGTCTCCCTGGTGCCCTAATGCCAGACTGTTAATTATTTAAGGACTGTTTTAGTGGGAAGGGTGCCATCTCCAGCATTGCCAGTACTGCTACAAACAGACATCCTGCCTAGCCGCATGTGGCTTGAGATGGGAATACTCCAGTTCTGGTATGGCTGCAGAAAGTAACTTCAGACACTTTACTAAAAAGTTTTGTATTTTTTTTTTCAGTTAACTTATTGATTCAATTGAGAACAATTGGGCTCAAATTGCTGTTGAGTCAGACTGCAGTTGCCTGTTCTTCAGATGGTGCATATACAGCTCCCTTTGGTTTTAAAAGCAGGTTTTATTTTTTGTTTGTGTGCATCTATTATAATACAAAGGTTTTCAGCTGTGGTGTATTGTGAAGGGTAGTTGCGTTCCATTTCAGACTAGTTTTTCTGACATTTGTGAATTCATACGCTTCGGATTTGGTTCAGTCAAGTGTACGGAAGCAATAAACAAAATTTGCATGTAAAAGTTGCTCTCATGAAAGCTGTGCTTTTCTCTAAAAGGAAAAAAAGCCAATGTTGAAGGTAATAATAAGTCATGAAAGGACTCCAGGATGCATCATAGGGAGTCTTTCCTCTTTCTCTGTTTTGGTTGATGGTTTCGGTTATTTGCTTTCTTTCATTTATGGTGTTGGACTAAGATTCCTTTCCTCCTCTCTCCCTTTTTTCCTCATCCTGTGGGTGTGATGAGGCGCCTGGGGTGGTTGCCTGACACTGTGCTCATGCTTTGCCCCTAGTTTTGAAGGCAGTGTAGATGTCCTCCTTGCTGGAATGAATGGCATTGATATGTCAGTACCAGAGCAAGGACAGCGCCAGTGGGATGCCAAGTCAAACACCACGTAGTGGTGCATAGCAGGGCTTTCCGCCCATGACTTGCACCGAGTGCCGAAATGCTGGGTTGGGGCTCTGGATATGCTATAACAAGACTTCCTGCAGTTCTTGAGCCTTCATCGCGTACTTAATGAATGAACTGCCAGAACCACATTTGTGATGGGCCGGCATCCGAGATGATGCTCAGGGGCAATCAGCATGGATTTATTAGGGGGAGATCATGTCAGACCAACCTGATTGCCTTTTATGATCAGGTCACAAAGGCCATGGATGCAGGTGTCGCGGTGGATGTAGTCTTTCTGGACTTCAGCAAGGCCTTTGACACCGTCTCTCACCCCATCCTAATTAGTAAACTAGGCGACTGTGGCATAGATGCCTACACGGTCAGATGGATTGCAGATTGGCTGAAGGGTCGCACTCAGAGGGTGGTGGTGGATGGATCATATTCGACTTGGGGGGAGGTGGGTAGTGGAGTCCCTCAGGGCTCGGTCCTGGGCCCTGCGCTGTTCAATGTCTTCATCAGCGATCTTGATGTTGGGGTGGAGAGCAACCTGTTTAAATTCTCTGATGACACCAAAATTTGGGGGGAGGTGAGCACGCTAGCAGGGAGAGAGAGATTGCAGAAGGATCTGGATAGGTTACAGGGGTGGGCAGACAGGAACAGGATGCGTTTCAATACGGACAAGTGCAGGGTGCTGCACTTGGGTAGAAGGAACCAGCAGCACACTTATAAGATGGGGAACTCCCTACTTGAGAGCACGGAGGCGGAAAGGGATCTTGGTGTCATTATTGACTCCAAGATGAACATGGGCCGACAATGCGAGGTCATGGTTGGCAGGGCTAACCGGACCTTGTCGTGCATCCACAGGTGCATCTCGAGTAGAGCCAGGGAGGTGATCCTCCCCCTTTATGCGACGCTGGTCAGGCCGCAGCTGGAGTATTGTGTCCAGTTCTGTGCGCCCCATTTCAGGAGGGATGTGGACAACATGGAGAGGGTCCAGAGGAGGGCCACCCGCATGATCCGGGGACAACAGGGCAGACCCTACAGTGAGAGACTGCGGGACCTGAACCTATTCAGCCTCCACAAGAGAAGGCTGAGGGGGGACCTGGTGACCGTCTATAAACTCACTAGGGGGAACCAGAAGGGTTTGGGGGAGACGCTGTTTCCCCTAGCCCCCGCTGGCATAACAAGGAGTAATGGGCACAAGTTGATGGAGAGGAGGTACAGATTGGACATCCGAAAAAACTACTTCACAGTCAGGGCGGCTAGGAGCTGGAACCAACTTCCAAGGGAGGTGGTGCTGGCCCCTACCCTGGGGATCTTTAAGAAGAGGCTGGATACTTACCTGGCTGGACTCATTTGAGTCCCGTTTTTGTTTTTAGGGTGAGTGGTTTTGTTTGTGTTTTTGGGTTGTTCTCCCGCCCTGGCGGGGGGTCGGGCTAGAAGATCTATTAGGTCCCTTCCGACCCTGAAACTATGAAACTATGAAACTATGAAAACCTGCCTGGAGGAAGGCGACGACTGTGCCACCCCAGGCCACCTGTGATTGAATCTAAATCTGCTTCCACAATAGTGGCACTGCCCAGTGTTGACCATTGCTTGAGCACGTGCTGCATTTTTGGTATGCATGGGTCATGAGCACCCCAGTGACTTTTTTTTTTCTTTTCGGTAGCGTTGTCTTCTGTTGTTCTGTGGGTGATTTAGTCAAAAATAAAAACAAACAAACAAACAAAAAGTGCACTTTGACTCTGGGTGTAGCTAGATAGAAAGGGTCTTGTTAAATGCCCTGGGTTGGAGTCTGTGCTGATGGCCTGATCCTGAACTGTTCCACTGAGGTGCTGGGTGCTAGGGGCATGTCTTCCAGATGAGGCTGTGGTCCTGCTAGTGCCTCTTCTTCATATGTTGTGCACTCTCCAGGGTACAAAGCATTTCTCTGTGCCTGTTCCTTGAACAGCACCATGCTGTTCTGTCGCTGCTTGGCAAATAACTGTCTCGTAGATTTTAATATCTAGGGAGCGAATGCCATTTTCCTAATTGCTGCTGTTCTCTTCTCCTCTCAGCTCTGACTGAAGGTTATGTCGGCTCACTGCATGAAAGCAGGCACGGGAGCTCCGTGCAAATACGGCGGCGTAAAGCATCCGGGGACCCTTACTGGGCGTACTCAGGTAAGTCGAGTCCTGCTAGACGGGGATGAAATGTGAGAGGTAACATGTTTAAAGGGACAATTGTTGAATTCTGCTGCTACTTACCGGTCAGGATCCTGACATGGAGCCTGGGTTTTCAGGAAGTTTTGCAACTGTGTTCTCTTCCACTGACTCTTCCATGCAAATGCAGCAGCTTGGGTGCCCTGTCCTGGTGCTTGCTTTTTGCATGAAACAGCACTGTTTTCACAGCAGGTGCTCAGGTGTTGCTTTAAAAGCCAGGGCATTTTCTACTTGCTCTCTACAGGATGAGATTGATGAGCGTCATGCCGCCTTTGTGGGCTTGTCACCGCTTCTGCCTTCTTTCATATTGCACTTGCATTGTTTCTTTTCTTCTCCATGCTCCCCAATCCTGGTCAGAAAATCCCTTCTCTCTCAAACACCGTGTTCCCAAGCCAGCTGTTTCCTTAGTATCTGCATAAACTTTCCACCCTTTATTGCTTTCCCTTGTCTTCCCTCCTACCTAATAATTTCCCAGCCTGTCATTTGCTGCTGGAGTGGTTTTCCAAGACACAGGTGCCAGAATACAAGTCTCAACATCCTCCCCCGTTACTGTTTTGCCTGTATTTATTGTTATCATTTTGCATAATGGTGATGATGAGATCTACTGATGCGGTGTCACAACAGGTGGCATATGATGCAGATCAGGGAGGGACTGATGGATGTTTTGTTGTTTGTCCTTTTGGCCTGGGAGGACTAGTCTCTAAGGGGAACCTCATTGCTTGGACTGGTTTTGTGATCTGATTAATCAAAGTAACTAAGAATCCCCTAGAAACCTTCAGTTCTCTGGTAGCTGCAAGTCAAGAAGCTTCCAGGCCTCTCTCTTATTTGGAGAAGTTTTTATTTCTCTACTGTAGTTTAAAGTAACTTTGCTCAACTTTAAGGCACAGTAAACACTGAGGGTAAAAGGCAACAAATTCAGGATTATTCTGTATGTTAAAATGGATGGTCTACTAATATCTGCTATCCTACATAAAAACTGCAAATTAAGTGGTACTTGGCATGTTTATTTTGTTTGCATTACTAAAAAACATTGGGAATATTCATTGCAGCCTATTAAAGGAGACTGCTACAAGGAGATAAATAAAACACTCTTGGAATTAGTCTGTTGTCATATATGTCAAAACTCTTTGCTTGAGTTATTGGATATTTTCTAATCTGTCCTGAAGTTTATTAAATTTATCTGCATGTGATAATTTTCTTAATTTATTTTAGTGACAATTCTGTTTTTCCTTGGTGAGTAATATCACTAGTTTGCCCCAAAAAGCTTTTTACCACCCACTAATCCTTTTAGATTTGTCAGAGTAAAATGTATAGCCCTGATCTGTAATTACACTTTATCTATTGGCTTTTTGCATCCTTTTGTCTATTGATAAATCTCCCGCTTCTACAAGGAAAATAGCCAATCTGTTTTGTTTTGCAGAGAACAGATAGTGACTTCTCAGTCGTCAATCAAAGGCAGTTCTACCTGATTAGTGTTATCTAATTAGAACCTTTTTTGTCACTACTTCTGATAAAAGAAGTAAATTGGGAGATGAAGGAGGCAGAAATGATATATTTACCAGTACTTGTCAAGGAGCTGAAGGAGGATTTATTATCACGTTGTGCTCATGGCACCCTGAAAGTTGTGTTTAAACAGTATAATTTCAGATTCCATTCTAGCAGAAACACCTTTTGGATTTGGCAGCTCCGATCCAGAGACAAAAGTGCAGGTCTCCACAGTAACTCCTGCAAATGCTAGAAACACAGAAACCGAGGCTGTGAGCCATTGCAAAGGTTGGCCCGGTTGCTGCCGCTCGGTGGCGTCCAGCACCTCACAGGGGAGTGTCGTGCTGGAACAAGGTGACCCACACCCCGACACCTCAAGGCAGGAGGAATTGCATCCAGCCAAGCTGCTCAGTGACAGGTCCATGCATCAATGGGAGAACAGGTAGAAGAGAGAATAATGCATGTGCACGGCAAGTAAGGGTATTATTTATGAGAGAAGGTGGAGAGGAAAATGGAAGGTGAAGCAAGTAGATTTTAGGGTAGGAAAGAGAGAGGGATCCGTATCTCTCACAGAAGAAAGCACTAGACGGGTGTGCCAGAAGGGATCCCAGCTGTACCAGCCCTCGGACCAGAGAACTAGTGGAGGGTTACATAAAACGTAGGAGAGAGGGAGGATGTCACTATATTCTCAGCACTTGAATGCTCCAGGAGTCTCTCTCCTTTCTTTTAGAGGAACTTCTCCCCTCTCCTCCACTCCCTGCCGCTCTCCCTTGCAGTTGCATGTGGGGTTTTGCAGCCAGCTCAGCTGCTCTTATCTGACGACCTCATCTCCATATTTATCCTTGTTGATTTAGGGGCCAGATGCTGCGAGACTGTCTAGTTTCCACAGGAGGTTGAGGGAGTCTGCAAATGTCAGCCAGCAGGGGACAGATGCTGGACATATGTTTGTCCCAGACTGAGCATAATCGGGCAGAGATTGGAAGTCCTCTCCTCTCCTCTCCTCTCCTCTCCCTGGAACGTTTCCTGGCTACGCCCTTGGCCGGGCTGTGGCAGAGCAATTTGTGTGTGAATGATGTCTGTCCTGGGGAGAGGCTCTGGATGGGATGGGAAGGTTACATCAAGGAAGCTGGCGAGTGCCGGAAGGTTTATGCTTCAGTAAGTGACAACCTGTCATTGTTTTCATCAGGTTGATCTGATGGGCTGCCTCCCTTCCGTAGTCTGGCTTTCTGGACCTCCTCCCTTCCTATTTGGACACCCCCAGTGCAACCCGCAGCATTTGGTAATGGGGAAGGCGCATATATGGGGGTGTATCTTTTTAAACTGTGTCTAGCGTCACTGAACAGCTGGAGCCGGCGCCTGGTGGCCTGCCGGCTTCCACCAGGCACCAGTGGCGTGCAAGTCACAATGCGACAACTGTTGACCTCACCTGAAACAGAAACGGTGCAGCAACAGGGATAGCAGCAGGCGTTGCAACAGTAGCTCAGTGCATTGATTTTCGATGGAGCGTTGCTGATTTACAGCAGCTGAGGATTTGGCTTCTTATGTCCCCGGGGGCATATGGAGTGCTTCAGTTTTCTGGCTTAAGCATGCAGGGATAAATCTACAGCAGGAGTGAAGGGCTCTGGGCACAGCTGGGCTGTCGCGGCTCAGCTACCCAGGGGAACGAGGGCAGAGCAGATGAGCGGAGACTCTTAAACCCTGGGGTCCTTCCGTCCAAGCCTTCCCTGGGTAGTGAGAGTACCTGCTCCACAGCCCTGCCAAAGGAAGCATGTTTTTAGGCTTCATTGAGAGCCTGTCTGCTTGTCCTTGGGCAAGTGGCTTGACGTCTCCTCTGCCTCAGTTTCCAACTTATGACATGGGAGTAAATGCCCGTTACTATGTAGAGTGCTGTGCTAACATGGCAGTGGGGACTCTGTATCTTAGTTCTGCATTTTGTGGACACCAGCGAATCCTCTGTGCCCTGTCCGCATGTTCCAGTCGCGTGCGGCCAGCGGTTTAACCCAAGGAAGTTTTATTAACCTCCAAACGCAAGCGTCAGAATTTTTAAGCTGTGTAAAATAACAAAGTCTATTGTCTACCAACACAGCCCTCGTCTGACTGCAGTATTTGCACTTAGTCAGCCAGATTTAGCCAATCTGCAATTAATAGGACTCGCAACGGGAGGAGAAAATAAAGAAAAGATAATTAAATGAAGTGAGAAATCGAGGTCTGTTTTAAACTGCTTCTTTCATAACTACAGAGCAAAAGCATGTGGCTTATCAAAGGAAACTTGGTAAAATGTACAGCAGCAGCCTGTTCAAACTAACTTCAGAGTGGAAGGACGCTGGGAAAGGGAGGAAAAAAGTAGGAAGGAGCTCATTTTAAAACAAAAGCTGAAAAAGTACGTGGAGCAGGATCTCTGTGGAACCTCTGCCTGATGTCTCAGAGCAAGTACATAGGCACATTTCAGTGGGAAGTACTTTTTGGGTGCATTGGCAATACAGCCTAAGCATTATTGTACATCTGATTGGAAAAGAGAGCTTGCAGACAGAGAGACAGTGCAGATATTACTCTGCGGTGGGAAGAAAAAGTAGCTTTTGGGTTAAGAACCTATCTCAATATTCACGGTGTACTCCATTTCGGTGAGCAAATAGTTAACAGGCACAAAAGAGCCTGACTGTTTAAGGGCCTGATCCAGCACTTGATCCCTCACGCACAGAAGCAGCCCTGCCAAGCTCCAGGAGAGGGTTCACTGAGTATAGTACTTGGACAGCCAGAGACGAGCAGTCTGCCCAAGGTCAACGAATTGCAAGATCTAAAATATCTTTAATGCTTCCGTATAATTCCCATATTTAGTAGGCTAAATGCAGCATGCTTCCAATATCCATAATGGTGACAAATAGCACTTCAAATGGCTTGTCGGTAATGTGGAACATTCTTTACAAGTGCATAAATCTTTTTCTGTCTTTTTCTTTCTTTAATTTAAAAAGAAATCCCACAAGTATGTACCATGGAAACATCTGGGAGGTCTAGGGCTTTTTGAACAACTCTCCCTTGGGCAATCGGTAATATTTCACAAAGAATAATGTTCAGAAGAGTAAACATTTCCCCCATTTTAAAACTTCAGTGACTTTTTTTTTCAACGTTATATCAGGGAGGACTTGGAGCACTTTGCCATTGACCTGACCAGACAGTTTTATTACTCTGTAGCCTAAGAAATGCAATGTGAAGGTAGATAAGGTTTTTTGGATCCAGTTCTGGAACTTTGCTGCCAGCCTTCTCTTAATTGACAATAATTTTGCATGGCAGTTAGTGGTGCGCCACACTTTTATTTGGAAAAAAAAATAAAAAGATAGGCATATTAATAAGCACTGACCAGAGAAATGGTTGCAACTAATTGGGAAGACGGGTGTTAAGGATGGTTTACCTAGTAGCATAGTAAGATCATCTCTTTATGTACAGAAAGTAGCTGCAGCAAGAAGAAAGCCTTGCTCTGT